AACACCCGAATTTGAATGTTTTCTGAACAGTTTTTTTGTTATTGCAAAGAAAACACATACATAAACAAATAAAGATGACATATTAAGCCAAGAAAATAAAAAAAATTAAAATCATATGGTAGTTCTGCCCAACCTTGATATCATTGTACCATGGGCTGTAGTATCCATTGCGAACTTCAAATAGCAAATTTGAAACAATTCCGGTGAATAATGTCGCTAAAATCATCAAAATACCGAATATCGGTAGTTGCCATTATATGGGGGATATACCAAAATGTGGACCTACATGGCCCATTTTCAATAACAAAAGTCATGCAGACATAATACACATTTGAGTACAATTTTATCAACCTTCTTCATTTTCTTCGGAAGCTAAAGTGATTTCCACAGACGGAAAGACGGAAGGACATCGCTAAATCGACATAGAATTAATTAATATTAGGTAACGCTGTCATGAATGTTTTTTCTGTCATTGTTGTTATTTATCATTTTGAATAAAAATAAAAACACAAAAGGATTTGCCAGAAAATTGCCAGTACGAGCAATTTCCTCTTCCCTTACCACACTTGTCAGACTTGAGAGTAAACTTACCTAGTATAAATTACTACAATTACCCTATTAAGACATATTAAAAAGTGTTTCTTTTCATATTTTCTTTTAATGTTTTGATTTTAAATAAATCAAACGGCAACCCTGACAATTACAAAGCCCTATTTCATTTTTACCCTTTGTATTACCTTTCATCTCTTTCACTCTTTTCATTCAATTGTCAGAGACGATCGAGTTAACGACATTTTCCGTTTCCCGAAGTTTAGTTCTTCCGTCGCCGTTTTAAAGTTTGGATCTATGCAAAATGAACGCGTTCACCCAGTGCCATAAATTGTCCAAATGTTGTAATGTTAATTTGTTAAAAGAAATATAATAAATAAATTTGAAAGATTCTATAAAAAACAAGATTAGTTTGAGTGCAAAATTATAGAGAAAATAATTTGTGAAATAAATAGTATATTAAAGCGTTGGTAATTTATGCGCCTTTAATTCCGTTGGTGTGTGCGTACATGTATGTAGTAATGTGTGACCATTCGTTCTTTCCGTTATGTTTTTTTTTTGTGCAAGCTGTAAGAGTGTGTGTATTTTTTATTGTTGATTGTGTTTTAATTTCTCAAAAATACAAATGAAAGTGATTTAGAAATGCATAAAAAAATATAAATAGTGCAATGCATAGCTTATTTAATATATAAAAGATAGTGTGTGTTTGTGAAATGAATCCAACAAAAAGAAAAGTTCCAATTCGCTAAAAGTTTACTCCAATTGGTTTCTTTCTCAGTGCAGTTCTCTCTCTCTCACAACATCCACATAAAATAAAGCATTAAGGAGGTAAGTGGTAAAATTTGTCTGAAAGAAATTAATATAAAAATTATAATAGTGACATTTAATAATATTATTTGTTAATTAATTTAAAAATCAAATAATACGTGCATATAGATTTCAATGAATTCACATGTGGAAAATGATTCACAGTATGAAAGAGACAAAAAATAATATTGTCTAATACACATACACACATACATACAATTGTTTTTATAATATTTAGATACTGGTATTTTTTAAGTATGCCCAATGATTTTTGGGTCATCGTGCTAATTTTGAATATTTTTAGATGGACTATTGAGACTGTTAATAGTTAAGTTTAGCGACTTATGTGGTCTTTATAAAAATACTTTTTTAATGTTTTAAGTATTTTTTAATTTTCGCAAGACCTTCATGACTTTTTATACTATCCACCATAGTATGGAGGGTATATTAAGTTTGTCATTCCGTTTGTAACATCTAGAAATATACATTTTAGACCCCACAAAGTATATATTTATATTCTTGAACGGCATAAAATTCTATGTCGACTTAGCGATGTCTGTCCATGTGTCCGTCTATCAATCTGTGAAAATCACTCTAAGTTACGAACGAAATGAAGTAGGTTGATAACATTTTACTCAAATGTGTATTATGTCTGCAGGACTTTTGGTATTGAAAATGGGTGATGTAAGCCAACGTTTTGGTATAGCCCCCATATAACAGAACCCCCTGATATTCTGGATTTTGATGATTTTAGAGACATTATTCACCGGAATTATTTCAAATTTTTATTTCAGCCTAAGACAGAAAATTGTCTGTCCAGGTCCACGTCTTCGTATATCCCCATACAACGGTACCTCCAGATATTCGGTATTTTGATGATTTTAGCGACATTATTCACTGAATTTTTTATTCAAGTTTCGCATTTGAATATTGTAATGGTTTATGATAAAAGTTGCCTATGCCGGTCAACGTCGTCGTATAGACCCTAATATAACGACTACATTCGGTATTTTTAAGATTTTAACAGAATTGTTAACGGATATTATTTTTTTGAAAATTGCCAAAATCGTTCCAAATGGTTGAGGGTATTCAAAGATCGGCCCGGCCGAACTTATAGCTTTTTTACTGGTTTAAAAATATATTTTTAATAAGTGCTCTATTGTTTTATTTTTTTTTATGATTTTTTAACTATTGAGGATTTTTTGATATATTTTCTGACCTCATCATGGATTTTTAAAATTTATTTTCCCGTTATACAGTTGTGGATTTTCTTATTTTAAAATTATATTTTTGGATACAGGTACGGAATATAGAAATGAGGGATATTCTTAGATTTTTTTATTTTCTTTGAATTTCTTTAATATTTTGTTTTTGGATTTTATGCTTTCTTATTTTTTTATTTATTTATTTTTTGGTAGATTTCTAAACATATTTATTAAAAAAAATAGTTTTTAAATAGCAAGTTATAAAATAGTTTGAAGAGCCATATTATTGTGGATTTTTTTTTTAAATTATTTTGTAATATTTTATATATTTCATTAATATGTATATGAACGAATTGTAATAGTAGATATAAAACATTCATTTTTGTCGATGAATAGACTTTGAATAGCAACCACCACACAATTCTGGATTTTCGATAAATATTTTTAAGTGGAAATCTACCATTCAAATTTTTTAAACTACTCGTAATACATTCCAAAAACTATGAATTTTTGTAATTTTTGGGCAATTTTGTGGCCAAAATACGTTTTGAAGCCAAAACAATTGCTTGATAAGAGGTTTACTTAAAAATAAATTTAAAAACATTCTTAATATATTCAATATTTAAATTTTAAAAATATTGCACACATAATTCAAATACCCATCGGATTTTTTAGCACATACATCTTCCATCTGAGACCAATGACAATGTAGGTGCGACCCATCCAAAGCCTGTATACAATTTCTACTTACATTTACACAGCGATGGCCTAGGCCGTCAGACGAGTTCGAAATCTATGGACAATGTAAGCGAATATTAGATGGGTCCGATATCGACCGACAATGTAAGCGAATGTTGGATGGGTCCGAAATCTATCAACATTGTAAGCGAAGGTTGGATGGGTCCGATTCCATCCACATTTTAAATTGTGGAACTTAAATTTTAGCTGTTTTTTTTTTATTAAAATATTCGTATTATAGAACAGTGTTTCAACAATAAAATATTCTTATTGTAATTAGAAATAATGCATAAAAAAGAAATTCATAAATGTTATTCAAAAGACGTGGGAAGAAACAAAGTTTAAACTAAAGAAAAAGAAAAAATAACATTTTCCAGTTTTTTTTTTTATTGTAGGGCATTGTTCGGAAGTGTCTGGCCTTATGGAATTTGAAACAATTTCTAATTTTTTGGCGTAATCTTATTCATAGAATCCTTCACATCGGACAGCTTCTGAAATAAGGATAGAAAATATAGAACAATTTTTTAATATTAAACAGTTATACTATAGAATAGACTAATGGATTACATTTTAAGGTATTATAATATTACTTTTTCATAAATATGTAAGAAAAAAGTTAACTTACCGAAAATGGCCATATTTAAAAGTTTCAATTCCTTAAACCCCTTTTTAGTTCGGGTACCATCTGGCCTTATTTTAATAAGGCCATCTGGTGAAATTGTAAGTTTTATGATACTTACCTGAAAGAAATTAAATTATTAATGGATTCTAACGGAGATTTTTGAATATTCTTACATATTTTCCAAAATCTTCTACAATTTTGGAATGCATGGAATCTGCTCATTTAGTACAATATCATTGTTTTCCAAACAGTCCGTCCTCAATTGTACATTTCTTTTTAAATTGTCTGCCTTCACTTTCTTTAATCGTCTTAAATTTCTCCTACTGAATCCTGACATTTTATTTAACTTATTTAACACACAACACTTACTATATTCTTATTTTATTAATTTATTTTATTTTATTAACTTTTTTTTAATGTTCACAACTTACACTTTCAAAAACACTTCACAGAATAAAATTTTGCTTTTAAAAAGAAAGAAGCATCAAAAATGAATAACGGTACAACACCGGCTGCAACAACACACAAAAAAACTTACAAAACAATACAAAGGCATCCGATTCAGATGCAAGTTCGATGGACACATTTTATTATATTTTGTTTTGTTCTTTAATTCTAATATGGATTTTGTTCCACAATGTAATAGCAATGCGACTCATCCAAATCGGATGCTAGTTGTATGCTATAAACCACTGTTATTACATTTTTTCCTATTGACAAAATAGCATACATTCGGATGGGTATTAAATTGTAATGGCGAGCGGACTGCTGGGTAAATGCCTTCTTAAGAGAATTGTTTATTCTTTGAACTCTCTTTCCTTCCATATTTTGTTTTTTTTTTTTCTCATAATAAGAGAATAAAGAAATTATTTGTGTTGCTCTCTTTTCTCTTATCACAAAATTTGAAAGAGAGTCAAATAATTGCGCAAAAACGCATTCAACCCCACAACGCTCCTGATTATTCTTCTCTGTTCGAGATTTTGCCACCGTCCCCAAGAACTTTCTGTGGCTGTGTTGGTCACAGTTGGCTTTGGGAGCCAAGTGCTATAAATACGCGACTCAGAGAGCTCTGCAGTCAGTTTGCAACTAAAAATTGAAGTAAAAACAAGCGGGAAAAAAGAAGAAGAAAGTAACGCATTTTCAAAAAGCATTTATTTGAATTAAAAAAAAAGTTGTGAAAAAACAATTAACTGAAACACACAGACAACAAATTTAGAAACAAAATGGTGGCAATTGGTATTGACTTGGGCACAACCTATTCCTGTGTTGGTGTCTTCCAGCACGGCAAAGTAGAAATTATTGCCAATGACCAGGGCAATCGCACAACACCCAGTTATGTGGCCTTCAACGATTCGGAACGTTTGATTGGAGATGCAGCCAAAAATCAGGTGGCCATGAATCCCAGCAACACCGTGTTCGATGCAAAGCGTTTGATTGGTCGCAAATTTGAAGATCCCAAAATACAAGATGACATGAAACACTGGCCCTTCAAGGTGGTCAATGATTGTGGCAAACCCAAAATCAGTGTGGAGTTCAAGGGCGAACAGAAGCGGTTTGCTCCCGAGGAAATAAGCTCTATGGTTTTGACAAAGATGAAGGAAACGGCTGAGGCATTTTTGGGTAATACAGTAAGGGATGCTGTCATCACAGTGCCGGCCTATTTCAATGATTCCCAGAGGCAGGCCACCAAAGATGCTGGAGCCATTGCGGGGCTTAATGTTTTGCGTATAATCAATGAACCCACCGCAGCCGCCTTGGCATATGGCCTCGACAAGAACCTGAAAGGAGAACGCAATGTATTGATATTCGATTTGGGTGGTGGCACCTTTGATGTATCGATTCTAACCATTGATGAGGGCTCCTTGTTTGAGGTACGAGCCACAGCTGGTGATACCCATTTGGGTGGTGAAGATTTTGACAATCGTTTGGTCAACTATTTGGCTGATGAATTCAAAAGGAAATACAAAAAGGACATGAGAACAAATCCAAGGGCCTTGAGGCGTCTACGTTCAGCAGCGGAGAGGGCCAAACGCACTCTATCGTCCAGCACTGAGGCCACCATTGAAGTGGATGCCCTGTTTGAGGGCATTGATTTCTATACAAAGGTGAGTCGGGCCCGCTTTGAGGAATTGTGTGCCGACTTGTTCCGCAACACCCTGCAGCCGGTGGAAAAGGCTCTCAACGATGCAAAAATGGACAAGAATCAAATCCATGATATTGTTCTGGTGGGTGGTTCAACACGCATACCAAAGGTCCAGAATTTGTTGCAACAATTCTTCTGTGGCAAGACATTGAATTTGTCCATCAACCCCGATGAGGCTGTGGCCTATGGTGCTGCCATCCAAGCGGCCATATTGAGTGGTGACAAGAGCAGTGCCATACAAGATGTCTTACTCGTGGATGTGGCTCCTCTCTCGTTGGGCATTGAGACGGCTGGTGGTGTTATGACCAAGTTAATTGAACGCAACACCAGGATTCCCTGCAAGCAGACCAAAACCTTTACCACATATGCCGACAATCAACCGGCTGTAACCATTCAGGTCTTTGAGGGTGAACGTGCCATGACCAAGGACAACAATCTTTTGGGTACCTTCAATTTGACCAGCATTCCACCGGCTCCACGTGGTGTGCCCAAGGTAGATGTTACCTTTGACTTGGATGCTAATGGCATATTAAACGTCACCGCCAAGGAGATGAGCACTGGAAATGCGAAGAATATTGTCATCAAGAACGACAAGGGACGCCTGTCACAAGCCGAAATAGATCGCATGGTTAATGAGGCCGAGAAATATGCTGCCGAAGATGAGAAACATCGCCAACGTGTTGAGGCCCGTTACAAATTGGAATCGTATGTTTTCAGTGTCAAACAAACACTGGAAGATGCTGGCGACAAGATTCCCCAATCCGACAAGGATCGTCTGATGGAAAAGTGTAATGACACCATAAAATGGCTGGATAACAATACCATGGCTGAAAAGGAGGAATTTGAATATAAAATGGAAGAGCTGAGTAAGATTTGTTCACCTGTTATGACGCGTATGCATCAGCAGGCAAACGGTGGTGGCAGCGGCGGTTCCAGTCATGCCAACGGTTATGGTGGAGGTCATTCAGGACCCACCGTAGAGGAAGTTGATTAAATTGCCAAGGGAGGATGATAACCAAAGCTTTATTCTTAAGCATAGCTTTAGCAAACATTCCTGAAGTTCAATTGCTTTAACAGTTTACGAAGTATCTCATAGAGTATTGTAAACGATCCAAACATGCACATGTACTTATATTAAGTTTTTTTTTAGCTTTAGAAAGTATGGAATTGATAACAAAATACAGTTTAGATGTTCTATTTAACCACAATTGCATCAGCGTAAGAAATATTTAATAAAATGGAAATTATTTTTGGTTCCATAAAGAAAATATTGTTTTTTTTATAGAGTAACCGGGTGGAGGGAGGACTTCTAATAGTTGATCCTGAATAAAGGGGTGTGAGTTCTCCTTGGTCAAGGTCATCGTGATTTATAACTCCGTGTTAAAGTAAGTATTTTATACCCTCCACCATACTATGGAGGGTATATTAATTTTGTCATTCCGTTTGTAACTCCTCGAAATACTCACGTCAGACCCAACAAAGTATATATATTCTTGATCAGCGTAAAAATCTAAGACGATTTAGCCATGTCCGTCTGTGTGTCTGTCTGTCCGTCTGTCTGTCTGTTGTAATCACGCTATCTTTCGAACAAATTGAGATAGAAGGCTAAAATTTTGCACACATGTATATTTTGCCAGTAGGCAGGTTAAGTTCGTAAATGGGTCATGTAGGTCCAAGTTTTCATATAGCCCCCATATAACGGCACCTCTCGATATTCGGTATTTTGATGATTTTAGCGACATTATTCACCGGAATTGTTTCAAATTTGGCATTTGAAGTTCGTAATGGATACTACAGCCTAAGACAGAAAATTATCTGTGCAGGTCCACGTCTTCGTATAGCCCCCATATAACGGTAGCCCCCGATATTCGGTATTTTGATGATTTTAGCGACATTATTTAACGGAACCGTTCCAAATTTGGTATTTGAAGTTCGTAATAGATACTGCAGCAGAAAACAGAAAATGGACCATGTAGGTCCACGTCTTCGTATAGGCCCCATATACCGTACCCCCCGATATTCGGTATTTTGATGATTTTAGCGACATTATTTACCGGTATTGTTTTAAATTTGAAGTTCGTAATGGATACTTCAGCCCATGCCAGAAAATTGTCTGTGCAGGTCCACGTCTTCGTATAGCCCCCATATAACGGTACCCCCTATATTCGGTATTTTGATGATTTTAGCTACATTATAAACAAATTTTTCTTCAAGTTTCGCATTTAAATGTTGTAATAACTTATGACAAAAGTTGCCTATGCAGGTATACGTCGTCGTATAGACATTCGGTATTTTTAAGATTTTATCAGAATTTTTAAAGGATTTTTTTTATTTTATTTATTTATTTATTTTATTTTTTTGGAAATTGCCAAATTTGTACCAAATGGTGGAGGGTATTAAACGTTCGGCCCGGCCGAACTTACAGCTTTTTTACTTGTTTATTCATAACCTTGTCAACGATGATGTCATAGCGTATGACTTCTTGAAGGAATGATCCAGATTTGAAATAGGGGGAAGAAGGAACTACGCCACGTGTATTTGATTGCTATAAATAAAAACTCAATATTGGAATAATTAATCAACCAAGGAAATTTATAAAATAGAGATTGTGTGCTACTCTACACCACATTAGAATAGTAGGTAGAGTTTTTTTCACCAAGAAATAAAAATAAATGTTGAACAGTTTTAATATCTTCGAAAGGTCTTCTTCAGATAGGGTGTATTTTAATGTCATCCATCTTCTATATCTATAAAAGAGGAAAATGTTTGTACGTTTGTTTGTTTGTTTGTTTGTTTGTTTGTAATTTATGGACTCGAAAACTGCTGAATAGATTTTTCTGAAAATTTCCATATATACTGCAACATCGCCTGAAAGTAACATAGGCTATATACATTTTTGAATTTCCACTTGGAACTGGAGATATAGCATCAGAATCGGAGGTACCTCCGAAAAATTTAGATTTTATATGCACATATCTATTGATCGGTTAAAGATACAGTCGGTTAAAGATACAGTCTCCAAATTTGGAATGTGTAACCGAATTTGGAACAAAAATAAGTTTGCTAAATTATATTGTAATCGGTTCAGATTTGGATATAGCTCCCATATATATTTTTGACCGATTTCGTTCATTTGATGCCTCAAACACAATATGAATGTTCGATTCCAATGAAATTTGGAATATGTGACGGGATTTGATCCGAAAATAAATTTGTCAAATTATATTGAAATCGGTTCAGATTTGGATATAGCTCCCATATATATTTTCGGCCGATTTCAAGCATTTGATGCACCAAACACGCTATGTATCCCCAATTTCAATGAAATTTGAAACGTGTGATAGATTTTATCTAAAAAAATTTATTTCCCAAATTATATTGAAATCGGTTCAGATTTGGATATAGCTCCCATATACATTTTCGGCCGATTTCATGTATTTGGTGGACCAAACAAGATATGTATGTCCAAATTTAATGAAATTTAAAATAAGTAACGGAATCGGGAGCAAAAATGAATTTTTCAAATTATATTGAAATCGGTTCAGATTTGGATATAGCTCCCATATATATTTTCGACCGATTTCATGTATTTGATGCACCAAACACGCTATGTATCTCTAATTTCAATGAAATTTGAAATGTGTAGCGGAAATTAAAACAAATATACATTTGTCAAATTATATTAAAATCGGTTCAGATTTGGATATAGCTCTCATATATATTTTCGACCGATTTCATGTATTTTATGCACCATACACGATATGTATGTTCGATTTCCAAGAATTTTGGAATATGTAACGGGATTTTGATTAGAAAATAAATTAGTCAAATTATATTAAAATCGGTTCAGATTTGGATATAGCTCCCATATATATTATCCGCCGATTTCACATATTTGATGCACATTTGACAAATTATATTCAAATACGCTCAGATGTGATTATAGCTCCATATATATACTCAGCCGATTTCACATATTTGATGCACCCAAAGCGAGAGAGACAAAATCTGGCACCAGCAAAAATTGCACAATTATATTGAAATCAGTTGATATAGCTAACATATATATTTCGGCCGATTTCATACATATTATGCACCAAACACGATATATATGACCGATTCCAATGAAATTCAGAATGTGTGGCGGAATTTTGTTATAATAATAAATGTGATAAATTAATTGGAAATTAGTTAAGATTTGGATATAGCTCCCATATATATATTCTCGGCCGTATATATTTGACGCACCAATTTCAATTATATATGAAAGGTGTGGCGGAGTTTGGTGTAAAAGTAATTTTTTTTAAATTATATTTAAATCGGATCAGATTGGGATATGATTTTAATAAGAACCATTGACCCACAACGCCTTAGGCTAACACTAAAAAACAACACAACAATTTATTTGAAATACGCTTATTACGGCGAAGTATGTTGCTATCTCGAATTCACTACTTGCAATAGAAATGCCACTCTACTTAAAAAAATTGCAGTTTCCTGCACGCTTGGTATTTGCTATGAAATAAATAAATCCAAAGGACAAACCCTTCGTGTATGCATGTCATGTTACTGCTTTTGTAATGATTTTGTTTATTAACGCATTAAATTAGTGCAATATTTTTTTTAATTTTTAAATTTGTTTTTCTTTATCCAACATATATTCGTAAATAAAATTTTGAATGCATATAAAATCAAAAGGGGTAGCGAAGCGCACCGGGTTCAGCTAGTAGTAAATAAAAAGAATCAGTCGGACGTATACCCTCAGCCAATGTTTGATTATTTACATAGATGTTGACTTCTGTTATAATTATTCAAATGTTTTACCCTCTATGGAGTAGGTTCCGAAGGAAAGGACCAATATTGTTCATTTCGTATCGGACCTAAATCTATATCTATAAAAGAGGAAAATGTTTGTACGTTTGTTTGTTTGTTTGTTTGTTTGTTTGTAATTTATGGACTCGAAAACTGCTGAATAGATTTTTCTGAAAATTTCCATATATACTGCAACATCGCCTGAAAGTAACATAGGCTATATACATTTTTGAATTTCCACTTGGAACTGGAGATATAGCATCAGAATCGGAGGTACCTCCCAAAAATTTAGATTTTATATGCACATATATCTATTGATCGGTTAAAGATACAGTCTCCAAATTTGGAATGTGTAACGGAATTTGGAACAAAAATAAGTTTGCTAAATTATATTGTAATCGGTTCAGATTTGGATATAGCTCCCATATATAATTTCGACCGATTTCGTTCATTTGATGCCTCAAACACAATATGAATGTTCGATTCCAATGAAATTTGGAATATGTGACGGGATTTGATCCGAAAATAAATTTGTCAAATTATATTGAAATCGGTTCAGATTTGGATATAGCTCCCATATATATTTTCGGCCGATTTCAAGCATTTGATGCACCAAACACGCTATGTATCCCCAATTTCAATGAAATTTGAAACGTGTGATAGATTTTATCTAAAAAAATGTATTTCCCAAATTATATTGAAATCGGTTCAGATTTGGATATAGCTCCCATATACATTTTCGGCCGATTTCATGTATTTGGTGGACCAAACAAGATATGTATGTCCAAATTTAATGAAATTTAAAATAAGTAACGGAATCGGGAGCAAAAATGAATTTTTAAAATTATATTGAAATCGGTTCAGATTTGGATATAGCTCCCATATATATTTTCGGCCGATTTCAAGCATTTGATGCACCAAACACGCTATGTATCCCCAATTTCAATGAAATTTGAAACGTGTGATAGATTTTATCTAAAAAAATGTATTTCCCAAATTATATTGAAATCGGTTCAGATTTTGATATAGCTCCCATATACATTTTCGGCCGATTTCATGTATTTGGTGGACCAAACAAGATATGTATGTCCAAATTTAATGAAATTTAAAATAAGTAACGGAATCGGGAGCAAAAATGAATTTTTAAAATTATATTGAAATCGGTTCAGATTTGGATATAGCTCCCATATATATTTTCGACCGATTTCATGTATTTGATGCACCAAACACGCTATGTATCTCTAATTTCAATGAAATTTGAAATGTGTAGCGGAAATTAAAACAAATATACATTTGTCAAAATATATTAAAATCGGTTCAGATTTGGA